CCCGAGGAGGCCACGGCTGCCGCCCGGGATCGGCGCCTGCATCAGCCGGGCACACGCTCTCAGCCCTYCTGGCAGGTTTGGCCGCCAGGCCTCAGGGCGGGGAGCAGCACCCGTGATGAAGAGCCACCCGAGTCTGCGGAGGGAGGTGGGCCTGCTACCTTGGCTCACATGAATACAAAATACCCTAAAAAGGAGTTTTACAGCTGTTACCAACATCWCCTTGCAACAAAGTCACCGGCAGAGTTCAGAAGGAAACTTGACCTAATTTCTTTTAATGCTGGATGAAAACCCCAGGCTTAGGCCTCTTTCCAAGTGGAAAGGAGGGAAAAAAGCCTATTTCTGAGCATCCACAGGCCASGCCACACCTCCGAGGTACACAGAGAACAAGGACGAGAAGCTGGGTGGCCGAGTCCACACCGTCTGCCGGCTCCACCCTCTCTCTTTCTGCTTCCAAGCCAGGTGTGCCTCTTCACCTGGAAGCCTCGTCCTCCTCACACATGTCGCGAGGCGGCTGGGCTGTGTGGTGGTAAAGCGCTGTCCCGGRTGGGCTGGAAACCAAAGCCAGCAGGAAAGCAGTCTGCCTCCCCTCAGGCCCCCACCTCCAGGCCTCAGGAAGCCCCTCCCACCTCCTTCCACTCCCTCCTGCGGCCTGGTGGTCCCCTGGTTGTGCCCACCTTGACGTGTGCTGGTGCCTGACCCAGCGCTCTGGACCACATCGGGAGTGGTGCTGAGGGCGCAGGACCCCAAGAACACCCACCCTGCCTGTGTCCCTGGAGCTCAGGGGCTTCAGAGCCAGCGTGCCACCAACCTTCACGCTGTCTGCAGAGGAAAACACAGAGACTCAGCCTGACCAGAGGCGGAGGGGAGGGCAGGAAGGAAGCCTGGCAGCTTGACTGACTGCCTKCAGGCTCCAAAACATTCTGCAGCCACCCTGAAGTGTAAAAGGTGTCCGTCCCAGAGCACCTCATCGGCTGCCCACACCAGCTGCAGCTCTGCCCTGTAGGGCAGTGTTCGGGCCTTATGGTGAAGGCACAGGGATCTGCGATGAGCGTTAATTAGGACAGACGGTGCAGGGGTGCAAGATGCCACAGACACCATTGCTCCACCCTGTAGCCGAAGACGCCGATACCCARACACTGGCCGCATTTCCGACTTCTTAGGCTGGTGTGTGTCGATGTTACTTTCAAGGTTGGGAACCTGTGTTTGACCCAAACCTACCAGGAGGGGGGGAATACATGTTCAGACAAGAACAGGAGAACCCTGGGAAGTTCAAGGGAAGTGGAGTCTGAAAACTATGAAAACCACAACACAATACCAGGGAGGCGGTGTATCTTAAGCCACCTTATCAGTAGGCTAAATTTGCAGTTAAAAGACAATACCAAGGCCAGAGCTTGTGAGAGGGCAGCTGGGAAATGAGCACTCACAGGGGAGCAGACGTGGCCGTGGGCCGGGGAGAGTGTGTCTCTGTGCTCTGGGGGCTCACGCCCGGGCCAGGTGCCTCCCACTCCCACTGTTCCTGTCTCCCTCTCCAAAATGCAGGGACCAGGGTCGTGCATGAGTCGGCTTCTGTCCCTCTGGCCAGCCTGGGGCACTGTCAGGGCTCTGTCAGGCCTGAGTGCCATTCCCCAAGGAAAGTGACCCCCACCCCGGGTCTCCTTCAGGGTACAGGAGGGCAGCTGGAATCTGAGGGCACCACTGCCCACAGATGCTCTCCGCTCCCTGCTCACCATCAAAGCTTGGCCCCAACCAGCCAGCTGCCCACTCGGAGTCACTGCGGAGGACAGGGCCTCTGCCATAGCTGGGCTGAGCAGCAGCCTTCCCTCCTGGGCTGGGCGGGAGCCTGGCCAGCCCCAGGCTGCAGAGAGGGCGACGTCCTGTAGCAGCAGGTGGGAGCTGAAGTGGGGCTTGCAGAAGGCCAGGACCAAGAGGGACCCGGGAGCCCAGACCCCAGGAGCTCACCCAGCTGTGTGTGCTCCACCAGTGTCACCTACCCCAGACACGGCCACTTCACTTGGGCCAGCAAGGAAAGACCACGGATCTCGTTTACATTTGTTTGAGTTTGAAAAAGAGGCCACCTGGCCGCGACTCGCATTTTTCTGGTAGTATGCCTTCCTTTAGTGTGTGAGACCTTCAGGACTGGATTGGAGGTGGGAACGTGGACCACACGTGCGGCCAGGGGCCTCACCCACGTTCTTGGGACGATGATCTAAGGAAGACTCGCTGGCCACTGTGCTGACGACGCCCGGGCCACACGGGGACTCACGGGCGCTTGCCCTCTGCTTGCTGGGTCCTATTCCACCTGCGGAGTCTTGCCCCTGGGAGTTCCTGGGAGTCCCCGAGGCTCAGCGCAGCGCCACCAGCCTCGGTGTGGGTCCTCGCCCCGCCTCCCAGCGGCTGAGAGCTTGAGCTTCCTGGAACGTGGCCTGGGCTGTCCTCAGCAGTGCTCTCCGTCCACCTTCAGTCTTTCCTTAGTACTGTCTTAAACGCAGAGGGAAGACACCCTGGGACCCCTACGCCGTGAGCCTTCTGTCCCGGGGACACCAGCAGTCTCACTTCTTCCTGTGGACAACACACAGGCTTCTCTTCTGGGTCCATGATGGAAAGTCACCTGCAGGGGTCCTGCACTCACCAGGGACTGTGAGCAGGCGACCCCGGGTCAGGCCCAGCAGGAGGTGCGTGCGCCGGGGCCTCGTCTTTGGGGCCTCGTCGACCACACAGTGGCACGTTCTCCACTTCCAGGCCGTGACCACTGAGGCAGCCCAACTGGCCCATGGGGGATGTTAGGCCAAGGCTTCTGGGGACTATCCGGTAGCAAGGAGTCRAGGGAACATAATGTCAACCCAAGTCCAGAGCCCACTTCACTCAGGCAGGAGTCACAGCAGCAGGGATCTCAGCCAGACCATCACCCGCTAGTGTGAGCAACCACTTCTGTGTGTTTTGAGCAATAGAAGGCTGGTGGCCTCCAGGAGGTGGTGGTGGGCGGGGCCTGCAGGTGGCACTCAGTGTCCTTCATCTGGAGTGCCCATCSATTCTGCTTGTCTGTGGTCACTTCTAAATGGCACTTTCTCTGAGATGGCACATGGTTTTTAAAGTCTAAAAGGCTAATACTTACAAATACACTTGCTTTTAACAGAGTTAGTGAATATAGGAAGAAGCATCATTATTGTACACTGTTCAGRATTTAGGTATTTATTTAGGTAGAAAACGCTTTGAACACTGGGGAAATAGGATTTAGTTATAGAAGAATATTTCAGGGAATTTTTTTTTTTTTGCATTTTTCAAGGATATACATTCGTACTGATTTTTGCTTCCAAATATATTTTAAGGCTGTTTGGTAAAATATATACCAGATCTGAGGCTCACCTTACAGGGTTTTGTTCTTACAGGGAATTCTTAACTACTCAGCTTTAAAAAAGCAAAACTCTGCAGCTCAACATGCTTTGATATCAGCTGCGCCCAGGGAACCCCATGCGTAGTGGGATGTGGACTACGGGAAGAGGAAAGTGCAGTCTTCCAGAAGCCCCGCCCGTGCGCCGCCTCACGCAGCCAGCGACACCAGGGTCAGGCTCTAAAGTGCGAGTCAGGGGAAAACAAAGTGCTGGGGGGCCTCCACAGCGCTCCCTCTATGGCTGAGCACGGTGCCCCCCACAGCAGCGAGCAGGAGACCCGGCGCTCGGGTGGAGACGTCTGAGGTCGCCATCCTGCCTGCAGCCCCCAGGAGTGCGAGARCTCTGAGGTCGGGGTCCAGTGGGGACTCTGATGGGTCTTCACCTACGGCGTCCGAGTGGATTCAGAAGGCCATCAGCGACAGTGGCCACCACTGTATCTGCATTTAGCTGCACACGGAGGCCCACTGACCAGAGTTGCTGCTACACTCTGGTGCCCATCAGAGTCCTGCAAGCTAATTCCATCTCTTAAATTCCACAGCGGGACATCACCACACATGACCCTTTCCCTCTTCATGTCTAACACAGGCAAGAAGTATACTGCATAGGACAAGAGAATTCTGGAAAGATACAAGTGTCAACGACATTTCTTCTTTACCAGTTAAACCGCGATCTACTGACCACCCACATTCAGAGTCCTGTACTTTTCACAACATCACAACTGTCATTTTAAACAAGCAAACTTTGTTTTTGTTTTACGGASACCCTGGMAAAGTCAACTGAGAGAGCAATCTGRGARTGCATCTACACAGGTAAAAGAAAYCACTTGTGGCTCGAGTGGTGACGTGAAGAGGGTGCTCTGTGTCGAGTTTTGCGATACAAAGGGATAAAGATGCCGTGACGTCTCCGGAAGCGGGCGCTTCTTCTCGCCTCCCTCGGGCCTTCTCTGAGCTCCGTCCCTGCCTGTACCTCACAGCCTCGGGAGGGTTGTGGGGCTTAGTTTTTAACGTGTAGGTGCTGAGCCTCCTGGGCTTTGGAGAACACAGGGTGGGGAGCTTGGGGGTGGGAGGGACCCCTTCCTATCACCAAGGACCCCACGGGGAACCTCTGCTTCTGCCCGTGGCAGCGGGACGGGGTGGCAGTGAGGGCGAGGTCAGCTGGACTCGGGGGAGTGACCTGAGGTCGGCGAGGGAGATGGGTCTCTTTCCTGCGCTTGGTGTTGTAGCACCTTCCACGGGTGTCTACGGCCTCTCGCGAGTGGTGAGATACCCATTTGTAGTCACTGTTGTCCTGACCTAGTCCTCACACGATTTATAAAAATAGAAGTAACAAAGTGTCAGCTGGGGTCCGTCTCGAGAGGCGCGTCCTCTGAGGGCCAGAGGGCGCCAGGCCTCGCCAGGCCGAGCATCAGAGCTGGGAGCCAGCCCATCAGGTGCCCAGGTCGTTCTTGCCAGAGCTCAGCAAACCGAGGACAGGGGAAGCGTTCACCGTGTCTGTGGTACCAAGGACACAACAGCAAGGGGGGACTCGGCGGAGGGAGGAGACAACGACCCGGCCGGTCGGCAGAGACTGTACAAGCATTTGTCCAGAGGAGCGGCGAGGGGCCGCCCGTCCTCAGAGCCGGGTCTGGGCCTCCGGGATGTAGATCTCGATGCTGTCGGCACGCTCCGTGGCTGAGTTCTGTCGGAAGGAGGCCGCCCTCTTGGCCGCCAGGAGCCGCCTCCGGGCTTCCTGGCGCTGTCTGTCGGGCAGGTCCAGGGACTTTTCTCTCGTGATGGGGAATTTCCCTTTGGGGGGCTTCTTTGGTATTGGAGGGGGGACTTTTCTTTCCTCCTGAAAAGCATCAAAAGTCAAAGCTGAGGTCAGAACTGAGCACTGCTGTCCGGCCCTGGGTCACCAGCACCTCTGGGGCCTGACTCACTTCCTCCCGAGTGTGCCCGGCTTCTGCCTCCTGGGCCTCCTGCCAGGAAGGGCACAGACAAGAGGGGCCCCAGCCCTTGGCTCCGCCTCACAGACGCCCTGACGCTTGCTCCTCTGGCCACGTCGGTGGACACGGGTAAGGGTGGCACAGTTGTGCGCCTGACACTCGGGGTGTGGTGGGAGAGAGCTGTTCTGCTGTCTGACTTGGTTCCTGGGTGTGCTTCCCACGACGGAGCCCGGAAACCAGGACCCTTGCCTTTCTGACATGCTCCTGAAGCTCCCTCACTAAGACCCTTCAGCTGTTTAAAACGTCTCTCCTGCACCAGACACAGGACCCCACTCCTCCTCTTCTCTCGGCAGCCTCTGAACGGCCCCCTGAGAAGCACCTTCCCTGTGCGGTCCCCCTCTCCAAGGCCTGCTGAGGTGAGGAGGGGATCGGGAGGCCTTGCAGAGCCGAGCCCCGTGGCAGGAAGACTCAGAGGGGCAGGGCTTCTCTTTCGGGGGTGCCTGCAGCTCACGTTCTGCACAGGGCGCTGTGTCCTCAGCAGGAGSTGGTTCTCACTTGGGAGTTGTTCTCTGAATACCCTGGAAAATGGGCTCATGCTAGCTCTCGATGGCAGAGGAGTAAATCCAAGAAAGGTTCTGTTTGGTCTCCATTAGAACAACCTCCCACGGGGGCTCAGCCCTTGGTACCTCCTTGACCTCAGCCCCAGGCCACGGCTCCCTGGACTTGCTTACCCCCCTGACCCTCTGTAATCTGACGAGAGCTCTGGTCTGTTGTCCTGGGTGGCATCTAGGTCTGGCATCTGGCCTGGAACCCCACTACCTGGCCCTGGCACCTTTGGGGGGATTTAGATGGCAGTGAGGACCCCCAATGCATTTGCTCTAATCGTTCAGCTGACTGTCCTCGTCTGTGCGTTCCACCCCTCCCCAAGGCATGCTGCATTGGCTTTCTGGGTGGCTTTGTTTTAATTGACAACATCTATCTGGAAACAGCGACCTGAACCCTGCCTGAAGTGTGCTGGGACGTCTCTGTACGCGTTACCAGCTGACCGTCCCCGGGCTCTGCTGCAGCTGCTCCATCCTGAAGAAGTAGGCCCAGGTTCCAGTAACTCGAGTCACATCGCCAGCCCATCTGAAGGACTAAGGCTGACACAGCCAAGGAGAGGGCACCCTCCATCTGTTGGTGAGGCCCAAGGTGCTGTCTTGCCTCCGACTAGACACACAGCCAAAGGCCTCACTGCAGCGGAGCCCGCAGAGCTGGGCCTGCAGCCTCCCCAGCAGGGATCGTCACAGTACCACTGTCTAAGCAAGAAAAGCTTGGAGGATGAGTCCCTGGAAGGAGTGAGACTGCCCACTGGCCCGGGATCCCGCCGGGGCCTTGGAGCCGTCCACGTGCCAGGAGGAGCACACTGTGACCTACATGCCTGAGCCACCAGTCCCACCCATGCACGCGTGTGCACATAGACCTACAGGGCTGATTCCACCCTGTGCTGCTAACCTAGACCCGGCTCCACACGGCGGTGGGAGTGGACGCTTCTATACTGGACTAGAGGCCAGGAAGCCACCCTACAGCCTGCAGGGACAGCGCAGCACACGAACCTTTCTCTCCGGCGACTCTGCCACCTTCCAGTCGTTGAGCTTCAGCTGCTGGAGTTCGTCGAACTTCATGCTGACGTCCTCGATGGACAGCTGCAGCATGTCCCAGTAGCCGGCCAGGTCCTGGGAGGTGGGCCTCGGCATGGCACTGGGGTCCTGTGGACACATGGGGAGTTTAGAGCCTGGGACGTGCTGGGCTGCTCCTCCCCTGTGCAACCCAAGGACTCAGCTCAGCGAGGCCCAGCTCTGGGGCTGCAGGTGGAAGCCCCCTTAGCACCTGGGTGGGGTGGAGGTTCAGACACAGGTAGCTCATCCCTTCCCTGTGACACTTGGAAAACGCTGGGGCAGAGGCAGGGAGGAAACCTTTCGAATCCTCTACAGCTCACACACAACAGGGCCCATGGTTTGGTCTCCTGTGGACGATCAGGAGGGACGATGGGCCAGCTCATCTGCTGGGCTAGAGGTGGAGATGGTAGGTGGGAGGAGGCTGGCTGGAGCCGGGTCTGCTGGTGTTTGTTCTGAAGGATCTTAGCTCAGATTCTCTGGGTCGGTGACATCTTACCAATGAAACCCGTGTTTACTTTACTCCTAAGTAGAGGGAGCACAGGCGAGAAAGGCTCCTGAAGGGACAGGGGGACTCACGGCAAGGTCCCTCATCTGGAAGGCCCAGGTGATGCCCCTGGCCAGGCCTGGGTGGTCCTGGGCTGTGTCCCTCTGCCCAGTGCCCCGTGGTGTCTGCCCTGGAAGCAGAGCAACTGTTCTGCATGGGCTCACCTGGTTTGGTGGGAGGCCAGCTCAGATTGGCGCCTTAAGCAACCAGACATTCATCTGAATTTGCTTAAAGGGTGCAGTTTTCAGCTTGCTCTTGGTAGTTTGCACTGATCACGACATACTCAGTTTGCAGTTCCTCTAAACTGGCTTGACGTCATGTCAAAATGATCGTTTGAAGCACCATCCCACCTGTCATGTGCAAGCAGATGGCAGCCTGTGCTACCAGCGAGGGGCAGAGGGTCAGAAGAGCTGCCCACTCCCCCTGGGATTTTCTCACCCAAGCAAGATCCAGAGCTGCTTTCTGCTGTGTGAGTGTTCTTCCTCTGAACCACCAGAGGGCGGCCACGGACCATGCCAACGTGCCGGTGTCGTGCAGGATGCCTGCGTGCCTCTGTTCTGTTACTGCCTGGCAGGCAGCTCAGCCTCCAGTCATCTACGCAGCCTCACTGGAGGCGTGCCTGCTTTGTGGGGCCCCTCCTAAGTGTCTGGGAGGGTCCTGGCGTTCTCTGGGTTCCTGACTTCGGCTACCTGCCCAAAGCTGCCTGCTACTAGCACTGCTCCTGTAACCTGGGCCATGTGCTCCGATGGCACCTGCTTCTGCTCTCAGCGGGTCTCTCCTGCCAGGCCTCAAGCGGGTTCAGAGCTCTTTTGTGCTAATCCTGGATAGAAGTCCAAAGAGAAGGAAGGACTCAACCCCGACATTTCTAATCTCAAAAGGCAGCAAAGACATTAGGGTGAATGGTTTTCAGGCTGGCATAAGCTGCCATGGGGGAGAGGACTGTGCACTTGACAGGCTGAGGGGATGCTGACCCACACGGGGTGGGTGAACCACGTGCTCCTGGGGGGCTCTTGGGGCCTCCCCAACTCTGCACAGCACACAAAGTTCCTTGGTGGCTAGCCACTGCCTTTAAAGATAGTGGGGGGTGGGGGGCACAGGGCGGGGGTGATGGACACACCTGGGGGCCAGCGTTTAACCAGCAGCCTGTATCTTTGAGGACTCTAAACCTCCCACTYTGCTTTTTAAGTGTCCACTAAACTTAATGCCCCAGGTGACATGTTGGGAATCTACATCTTATGATGAACTTTAATGGGCAACTCGGAGAACGTAGAGAAAACACACTGAAGGGTCCTGATTAAAAGATGGGGTGGGCAGCGGGGAGGTGCCCTGCCTCTGACTGGTGGGAATGTCCGACTCAGTGTCTCCAGGCAAGCCGGCAATCAAGACCACRCAACTGGAACACCGTGGCCCTGCCAGGACCAGCTCACCTCCTGGAAGTCAGTGAGCAGAGCGCAAAGCTGCCTAGGAAGYCAGGACACTGTCCAGCTGGTTACCACACAGCAGGTGAACACTTCATTTAGTTAGAAAAGTATGTAGGTGTGTGTGCCAACAGGAAGAGTATGCGAACATATTAACATCTATGGACTAGTGTGCATGGGTACATTGATAGCTGGGCACACTGGTAGCTCTGGAGAAGCGTGCACAGGTGTGTACGTGTGTATGGAGCAGGTATCAATCTGCGCGTGTGCACTGTGTCACACCCGTGTGGCTTTTCCTTCCCTCGGTTGCCAAGAGAACCAGGTTTGGTGGCGCTGCAGGCACACATCTAGTTCCTGCAGACTGCTAGTGACTGCAGAAGGGGGGCTGACTCGTTCCTGCCACCTCGTCCTGATCTCTTCCAACACGGTGGGACAGGCCTCTCCACTCCAGCCATAGATTCACCTCTCCTCTCCTCCTCTAAGGGCTTCTGGGACTCACCCCAGGGGCAGAGGCACAGCCTCACACATACTCCCGACTCCAGCTTCCTGTTCACATGCTCCTCAGGCCTCAACCCTGGCTGCCTGCTGACACCAGGGCAGAGGGGTGGGCCCTCGGGCTGAGTGTGAGCGCCAGGAAGGGGTGTGAGTCCCTAGGAAGGGGTGTGAGTCCCCAGAGATGGGATGTGAGTCCCCAAAGAAGGAGTGTGAGTCCCAGAAATGGAGCAAGTGTCCCAGAGATGGAGTGTGACTCCCCAGGGATAGGGTGTGAGTCCCAGAGATAGAATGTAAGTCTCTAGGGATGGGGTGTGAGTCCCAGGGATGGGGT